ATTTTTCCATGAATTTATTGTTTAATTTACAACTTTCAATATTACAAATTTTCTTTTGAGGTGACGATATTTTTTTGGGTTCAGTCTCTCTACTCGAAAGAGAAATATCTGCATATATTTACATTTTTCAAACTTCACTTATGAAATTATATTAAGTGTATTGTTGTTTTGCAATATTACGAATCTATTAAATATACACTAATATAATATAGATGAAACGATTGAGATTTTTCATCTTTAACTAGAGATTTCATGTTTGAGTCTCTAAAAATGAAAAACTTATATAAACATCGAACCCCTAAAAATACTCAACGTAAATATCGTTGACAAGTTCTTTCATTTTAATAATAATGATGATGGAATTACAAGGACTATAACGCAACGTTGTTGACCCCCCTTTTTTTTGTAAACTTAAAATTAATTAACAAAGTTGACAAACCAAACAACGTATCAATCTGGGTTGTGGTGTGACGATAAAATTAAACGAAAATCAAAATGTCATGACGTGTATAATTTGCAACCATAAGTTTCATTTAGCCTTAATTAAATACATAATTGAAGTGGAATAATTTGTCCTTTTAATTGATTGATGATATTGGTCAAAACTTGTAGTCAAATTAAATGTAATGGTATGTTAAAATATTTCAAATGTTCAAACCTTCAAAACTCAACAATAGCTCTGAACATTATTATTATTTTTGTTTTCATGTTTGAAAGTTCATGTTTTCTAATAAAAACGGCTGCTTATTCAAGAGGATACGAACTAAAATTTCTGATTAAAATAAAAGAGTATTTATTACTTCATCCAAGCTCGGTGTTAGTTTGGTTGTCAATCTTAAACACGCATCTGAACAAGTGATATGCAAGAGAGATCGAGTTTTTTTTTTTAATTCTTTGGCCTATCTAATTCTTCATTTATATATTGATCTTTATGGTGATCAAGTATGAAATACTAAAATAAAAATATAAAATGGTAGAAAGTATGCATGCACCAGTGATCACTCGACCAGGTCCCTCAACAGAATTATAACGCAGAAAATAAATAGTTCAAAGTAGATTAGACACAAGAATTTTACGTAAAATCTTTCTTGCTAAAAAAAATGAAAACCACGACTGTACTCACATAATTTCAATTCAAACTTTATTTCACTCAAAACAGAGCAAAAATAAAGCATGATAACAAACAATTGGGGGGGGGGGGGGTTATTGGGTCTCAACAAATTCCTTATTTAATCTCAACTTATCAATATTATAAATGTTCTTTTGAGCTAACGGTGTATTGAACCAATCTCTTTACTTAAAATGTAAGAGAAATATCTGAATATGTTTACATTTTTCAAACTTCACTTATGAATTATATTATACATGTTATGATAGCCTAGTGACTTTGTGAAACATTAGATTGGCAAGTTCTTTTGATTTATAAATAAAATATTAAATTAAAATGGCTGTTGACTGTAACGTAACGTTGTTGACCCTTTTTTTTTGTCAATGACTCAAAAACATATAAACTTTAATTTATCAACAAAGTTGACAAACTCAACAATGTATCAATAATACTCTCTCTTCATTTATTTTTATTTGTTACTGCCCAGTTTGATATATTTATTAAAAAAATAATTATTGATACAATAATTTACCTAACTATTCTTAATAAACAATATGTAATGTTAGGTGTTAGAAAATGATTTGAGGAATAAATACTTTAATGTTGATGGTAAAATATAGGGAAAAAATAATAATTTTGCTTGATATATCAAAAGTAACATGTAAAAATGAAAATTTATATTACTCTCTCCGTCCATTATTGTTTGTCATGTTAAGGTCATGCATACCCCTCAAGGAAAATTTAATATAATGTGTAATTTGACTAATATAACCCTATCAAGAATATCAAAAGTCTACCTAACTTTCCTAATGAACTACATTATCATTAAGGGCAAATTTGGAAAAAAATGATTAATTGTTTCTTGATTATTTGAATTGACAATTAATCTTGGACATCTATTTTTAGTATACCTGTCAAACAATTGTGGACAGAGGGAGTAAATAAAATGAAGTTTTTGCTAAAATTATTAAGTTTCCCTTACTCCTAGATAAATATTTCAATTTTCAACTTCAAGAATAAGTCGTTTTCAAGAGAACGCGTTTGTCTAAAAGTTTAAATCGTTAATATATTTATAAATATTTAATTTTTATATAAGATTTCAACATGATTTTTTATGTTTGGATTCCAGATTTTTTTGATAGATTAGACATGTAAAATAACTTTTACTTTTCAAGTCAAGTAAGGTTCAATTTTAAATTTTATGTTTGTTTTTTGGGGGTTATGTTATCGATATTTAAACCTACAACTTTTTAAGTGTTGAAGTATTTGATCATCTGATTTAAAAGATTTAATAGTTAAATAATATATTATTTTTTTTATGTAGGTATATTTTTAATACTTTAAAATGCGCCAACGTACATCAAATTAAAATTAAAATTTCATGACTTATATAATATAAGCCCACAAATTTAATTCAGCCTTAGTTAAGTACGTAATTGAAGTACAACAATTTATCCTCTTAATTGATTGAGAATATTCAAACCTTCAAAATTTCAACAATAGGTTTGAACATTATTTAATGTATGATAATTTTATTATGACTTTTAAAGTTTATATAATAAATTTTTATTTAATTATTATTTCTAAGATATATATGAATTGAAATTTCAATTAATTTAAAAATTGTATTATTAATTACCGCTGACATAATAAAGAAAATATTAATTACGTATATAAAGGATGTTTACCTCATTCCTTTGAATAGTGAAAATTGAAGAGAAGTAGATAATTAGTACTATATAGTATTTATATTTTGATATTTATTTATATAGTGAAATAGATAATTAAAACATTGAAAAAAAATTTTAAGTTTTCAATTTATTTACTATACAAAATAGAGTAATTATAGGTTTGAAGAAAGTTATTCTCTTTTGATTAAGCTTCGAACTTTTTAACTAGTCTAAGTTGTTTGAGTTATACGAGATGTTGTCAGGTTATTGTGTCCTGAAGAGGACAAATCACAAACTATAAGGCTATATATCTATAGTTTCGGTAATTGCACTTCATAGTTATAGTTTCTATTGCTATGGAGGCTGTTGGTGATATATTTCGCTTGCCCATTTGTATATTTCACTTGCGAATATACAAACAAGTAAGTTTATACGAATTTCCCATTTTTACATATAAGATTTTTTCAGAAATCTATTTGTATATTTCCCTTGCCAATATACAAAACATGATAATTTATTATATATGTTTTTTCATAAATAATATACAAATAGTTAGGGTAAGCATATACAAATTCTTAAATGCAATCAAGAACTAAATTATACAAATTTTTAATTTATACAATTAAAAAATCAAATAACAAAATTTTGCAAAAATATAACCACAAATTAATAATCGAAACAATAGGTATTTCACATAATATACTCTAGACGTTTGATATTTCACAAAATTTCCCCAAAATGATACTATTATATCAATATAGATTATACCAAAATGAACTTGAATCTCTATTAATATATACTATTATATCAATACAGATTATACCAAAATGAACTTGAATCTCTATTAATAATTTCATAAAAAATATAAAAATAAACATAAAAAACTTATGCAATCAAAATAGTGAGGATGTAAAAAAAGAAAAAAAGGGATGATAAAAAAAATTATTAAAAAAAATAGTAACTCTTAATAGAAATAATATGTAGAATGGGGTTCAGAAAATAATATGTGATAATTATATAATAGAGTTTGAGGTTGAAGCTATTGATCGAGTCGTGGAGTTAGAATTTTTAATTAGGAAGTTTAAAATTTGAATAAGTAAACATATGAACTAATCGTAGGGGATTGACATGTACTCTATATACATTAAAAATAATAATTTAATTATATATAAATAGTAATATTTTCCAGCGAAGAGATATCAGATGAACCCCTTGAATGTATGTTGGTTCTACCCCTGGTTGAAGCAAGTATCTTTTCGTCAAATATTCACAGGTATTTTTTTAAAAAATGTTTTACAAAAATATGTCCTTTTATATTATTTATTTATAGCTTTATTGCTTTGGATAACGATAAAATTTGTGTAAATTTTGTAATTACTCTGAATAAAAATTATTAACGATTGATTAAGAAAAATATTTTAATTACGAACATCCCAATTAAGACTCTTTACATTGAATTTATGAGGGAACAAAAGATAATTTACTACCACATAAACATATATTATATTTTATTTTAGAATAAAAATTTAAAATCATTTAATCAAATACCATTTAAAATTTATCAATATGATGTGTGTGCATGAAAAATAAATCCTTCTAGACTGCTGCCACACTAGTCAACTCTTCCAAGAAAATAATGTCTTAAAAGACTTTTTCATGAATTGACAAAATCATTTTGCCCCACAAAAACAAGAGACCCCTGTGTACGTCGTCCGTATAAAATTAGTTCATAAAAATATAATTTGATGAAGATTACGTATTAATTCATTCACTTAATGATTTAGCGATTCAATTTATCTCATTTACATGTTGACGTTGATCATCGTATTATATATAGTTTAAATTGATTCATGAGAAATATATTACGTTATTATTTTAAGCTATACACAATAACCTTACTTGGAACTTGCACATTGACAAGTAAGACTTGATCAACTGGCTGAACATCATTATCGAGGGTTCGAGTTGACTATTATTTCAAGTGTTAAGTTATAAACTGAATGTCTAAATAAAATTTATCGACAAATTTAAGTGATTTTCTAGATGTATATATATGACTTGTTCTTTACCTAAAATGTCACCTATATATATATAGTCATGATCAAACAAACATGACCAACACCTCCCCTTGGAACTTTCCAAGAAAGTACTTTCATTTATGAAATTATTTCTTTAAAAACTCACCAAAATAAATTAAATCCCACATCAAGAAAATACCATTATCTCTTTCTCTTATTATATATATACCCAAAAAAATCAATTTTAATTTTAATTTTTTATATTACAATTTAATTATCCAAAAATGTCCAAAGAAGGTGTGAAGATAGTTATAATAAATACAGAATATATACAAACAGATGTTAGTAGCTTCAAATCTGTTGTTCAAAAATTTACCGGCAAGAATTCAACTTCTCCGGCGCCGGTAAAGGCTACGCCGGCGGCATACCGCCGGAGATATGATCATGGTGATGACAATAAGTTGTTGAAGGATTTGTCCCCTCTAGATGAACTTGTTGGCCTTTACACAAATGAAGTGGTACGTAATTGACGAATAATTATATATACAGTGATAGAGACAAAATTTTCACGAAGAAATTTATTACGAAGCAAGTTACATATTTGATCGACTTGTAAAAAAATAATTACATTTTCTAGTTTTATAGTTATAATATATATATACATTGTTATTATATTATGTATACATTTGTCGGTTATTATTTTTGTTGGCATATGTACAATTTAAGAAATAGTGAGGAGAATAAACAATTATAGTAACTCTTACTACTAATACTTCCTCCGTTCAGAAATGTGTGTCATATTGTGCTTATCGAAAGATAATTTGACTAATTTCCAAATGTAAATTAGATCACATTAATTTCGATATTTTAAACAAAAAAATTAGATATTCTAAAACTATATAAAAGAATACTATAAATTACAACTTTTTGCATATTAATATGATGAAAAAATGCATCTTAAAACGTTAGTCAAAGTTTTTATAATTTGACTCTAAAAATAGAAACTATGACAAACAATACCAGACGGATCAAGAATGGTAAAGAGAGAATACTAATGCAATCACAAAAGGTAATAATACTTTGGTGGTAATAAGTAGGTTTTGCAACTAATTGTTGTTACAATAAGTTTGATCTATTATAGTATATAAATTGCATTTGACAAATGCGATTTATAGCATGTAATTATATAGACTTGGATAATCTTTCCTCGTTAGGACAAATTTAGCCAGCACATAAATATAGGTTGTTGCTAGATATTGTCTCTTTCTTTCTTGAATTGTTCTTTGGTTACCATTCATTCTTCTAATCAATCTTCTAACTTGGTATTTATTGATGGTATATTCACCTTATTCTAATAAATAAATAACCTAATTCATCATAAAATAATCATGTGCCATAAGTGCCAAAAGACAATTTCAAAGTTTCACAATGTTGATCAATGTCAATATCCTGTAGGTCACAAAGGGCTAGGCGGTTCAGATCGGAATCATGATTAAGAAGAGAAGGAAGTTAAGGTTTCTAATCAATAAGTCTTGGAATTATATTGAACATAAATATTGAAAAATCATGTATCCCATAATCTTTCTACTTAGAGAGATAAACATGTGTAATATCACATGTTAGCAAGTTTGTCAACCTTTTGCAATTTGATACATCATCATGACAAAAATATATAGCTGGAGACTAATTTGATATTATTATAGTGGATTAGAACTTCACATAAATTGAAAATTTTAATTGTTAATTATAGTCTGGTCGTATGAATTTGAGTAATTTTTTCTTAGTATTTAACTTTTGAGGTTGAGTTAGATTCAAGTATCAATATCCTTACATGATATCAGAGTCAATTCCATTTCTGATCGCGTCCACATGTTATATTGTCCACACCATTCAGCGTTGAGCGTGAAATGAGGTTTTATAGTGGTTCAGAGTCCCACTTGTATCGTATGTTGTTCACACTCCATATTGTGTATCGTGAATGGAAATGTTAGAGTGAGCTAGAGTCCTTCATTAACTAGAGGCGAATGAAGTTATGATTTGTTATTAACTTGAACAATCTTTCCCTCGTGAGCCAACTAAGAATTGAGAAGCAATTTTGGCTTAAAATTAAGAAGTGGTAGGTTGTTAAATATCAAAACTTTCTACCTACTATATATCTCCAACATATGTTATGTTTAAGGTAGCAACACAGGACAAATTAGCCAGCTCTTAAATATAGGTTATTGCCTCATACAAGCTAGATATTGTGGCTCTTTCTTTATTGGATTGTTCTTTGGTTGCCATTCATTTCTCTTTAAGTCTTATCAATCAATTAGCCAACACAACTAATACTTTTTGCAATAATACTTATACACCCTTATACATCAATATACAATATTAATATACTTATATGAACAATGAATCACCTTTACACTTTGTTTGGATCATTGTTACCAATTGTTTCATAATGTATTGGATGGCATAGTTTATGTAATTATTATAATAATCTATGAGTTTTGCGAATTCTAAGTGCAATGAGGATTATAGATCTTTCTACTTCTCGAGGTATGATGACTGATCATAGGATTGACTAAGAGGAATAACTGGAGATATTTTGTGTTATATTTGATTATTCTCTATAATATCCAAAATTTCCTATTTGTGAAATTTTGTGAAAAATAAAAAGGGGAATTATGTTGTATAATGTTTTTCGTATTTGTTGATACCTCAAGAGTACTTTAAGAACCAAAATTGAGTCAGAAATTTTAATTATGAGGAGTTTACATTTTACTTGTCTGATACAAAAAGTACTCTTAATGACACGGTGTTTTTTTTTTCTTCGAAAAATCATGTGAATTTGATTTGGAAAATAATATCATATCATATCAAAAATATATTTGACCTGATTTAACTAGGCACTTACAACTCCATATTGCTTCAATGTATGACACTCTAGCATCATTAGCTTGACCTAAATCTAATAATTAAGTGATAATAATGTATGTAAAATCTCTCTCCGTTCCTTTTTATATCTCATTTTTTACTAATTAAGAAAAATAATAATTTTTACTGCTCTCAGAAAAGTAGTCACTCTTTAATGAGTAAATTAATTTTCAAATTTATCAATTAAATAACATAAAAAATAAATTCACTATGTCAATTATTTTTTTAACATGTATGTCAAATAAAAAATGGATAAATAAATATAAACAGAGCGAGTAGATTGGTGTAAATCATGAATTTTTATTTTATTTTTGAAAAATTGGGATTTCAAGAACATAATTAACACTCTCAAGAATAAATGAAATTGGTAATGATGACTATGAAGAAAAAATTACATTTTTCAATCTATGAGAAATCCAATGAACTAGTACTCATCCGTTTCTAAATAAGTGATATTTTTAACTTGGATATATCATTAAAAAAATTATTCATTCCAAAAAATATATTTTATTAATTTATTTCAAATTCTATATATTTATAGTATGATTCAATATTTGTAAACTAAAAATTCTGACTCTATCTTAATAAGATCTTACAATTTTTTGATGACACTATCAAAGACTAAATGATATTGGTAATGACTAATTAGGATGACTTTGAACTTATATTATTAATTAACCAGAAATGTGATCACAAAAGAGTATGATGAAAAGAAATAAATATTCCTATTTATGGGAAATCCAATGAAGTATGTTTAAGCCCATATTTGAGAGGGTGTGGGACTTCACAAAAGAAAAAAAAATCAAATATCATTATATATGATGATGAGGCTATACTACTTCCACAAATATTATTTGTTTTTTTTTTTGCTTTTCTGGTATTTTTATTGAAATTTGATTAACTTGAATTGTGTTGGATAGGGTTTTATTCAAGGGGTACCGCTCCCTATCAAACCATTTTTTTTCTTCATATCAAGAGCTCGAATTCGAAAACTCTAATTAAGGGAGGAATAACTTCATCTACTGCACCACATCCTTTTGATGATTGACAAAAGTATTTTAGCTGATCTAGATTCATATGCTAATTTTTAATGTACTTAATAAATAAAAACGAATGAATAAAGTATTTCGAGATCTTTATATGAATAATTAAGCAAATATATTGTTTCTTTTTATTAGTTTGTATACATGGATGATTCACCAACAAATATACATGGCTATACATTATCAAAATTATACACATTATATATAGATTATATATATATATATATATATATATATATATAT